TGGTGATGCAAGGTGTCAGGAAAAATAACCTATACTACTTGAAGGGCAAGACAGTTACAGGGGGTCTAGCTGCTTCTATCACCATAGAGGAGGACACTACCACCCTATGATACATGAGACTTGGACACACAGATGATAAGTCCCTATAGTCATTGACAAAACAGGGGCTATTGAAAGATGCAAAGACCTACAAGATGGAGCTGTATGAGCATTGCATACTTGGGAATAAGATTAAAGTAAAGTTCGGCATCGCTATTCACAATACCCAAGATATATTGGATTACATTCACACAGATGTTTAGGATCCTTCCAAACACACATCGCTTGGTGGGGCAAATTATTTTATCACTTTCATTGATGATTATTTCAGGAGGAATTGGGTATATACAATGAAGCATAAACATAAAGTCCTAGATATATTTGTGGAGTGAAAGAAGAAAGGGGAGCTGCAGACAGGTATAAAGGTAAAGACTCTTCGTTAAAACAATAGTGGAGAGTATAAGAGTGATTCATTTCTACAGTTTTGCCGGGATCACGACATTAGAAGATACTTCACAGTTAGAGAGACACCGCAACAGAACGGAATGGCAGAAAGATTGAACCGTACATTGCTGGAGAAGGTACGATGTATGATGACGCATAGTGGATTGTCTAGCTCCTTTTGGACCGAGGCGTTGGTTTATGCAAGCTATCTCGTTAATAGGTTATCGTGCACTACAATATAGGGGAAGACTCCTATGGAGTGTTGGTCTGATTCCGTGGCCAGTGACTATGAGACGCTTCAGATAATTGGGTGTTCAGCTTATTTCCATGTCAGTAATGAAAAGTTGAATCAGAGAGCGAAGAAGGCCGTCTTTGTGGGATTTAGAGAAGGTGTCAAAGGCTTTAAATTATGGGATCCACAAGATAAGAAAATGGTCATTAGTAGAGGTGTCACATTTAATGAGGCGTACATGATGAAACCTTGAGTTCCTCAGTAGGTGGAGGAAGATCAGACAGGAGGGATATCACAGCAGGTGGAGAATGATATGACTCCACCAACTCCAGACAGCACTATGTCCATTAAGGCTCCTACAGATGTGACACTGAGAGGATATGAGATGACAGTCGGGCATTTGGAGGATACAGTAGATGGTGAGGTTCAGGAGCAGGGTCATGCTCAGGAGTCCATTACAGTAGATAGACCAAGGAGAGTGATTCGTCGGCCAGCTAGATATGATAACGTCATGGTGGTATATGCTTTATCAGTGAAGATCGTTGATGATTTGGTTCCTTCCACATTCAGGGAGGTAGAGTCTAGCTCTGATTCTATTAGGTGAAGGAATGCTATAGAGGAGGAGATGCAATCTCTCCAGAAGAACGACACTTGGGAACTTGCAAAGCTACCTAAGGGAAAGAAAGCTATTGGTTGTAAGTGAGTGTATGCTAAGAAGGAGGGATCTTCTATTAGGGATATTCGGTTCAAAGCCAGATTTCTTGCTAAGTAATATGCACAACTTAAGGGCGTTGATTACAACGAGATGTTTTCACCCGTTGTGAAGCATCCGTCGATTCAGATCCTATTAGCATTAGTGACATAGCTGAATTTGGATTTGGTCCAAATGGACGTGAAGACGACCTTTCTACATGAAGACTTAGATAAGAAGATCTACATGTCACAACCCATGGGGCTCAAAGCTGCAGGAAGCGAAGAATTGGTGTGCAAATTGAAGAAATCTCTTTATGGACTGAAGCAATCATCACGACAGTGGTACAAGAGGTTTGATAGCTTTATGATTGGCCAAGGGTACACGAGGATCCCTTATGACTCGTGTGTTTATATGCGCAAGCTACATGATGGTGAGCATATTTAGTTATTATTATATGTTGATGATATGCTCATTGCCTTCAGGAACACTTCAGCTATAGGAAAATTAAAAAAAGAGCTGTCATCTGAATTTGAGATGAATGACCTAGGAGAGGCTAAGAAGATATTGGGTATGGAGATTGAAAGTGACAGAGTGAAGGGGAGATTGAAGCTTACACAGAGGAGTTATTTGTAGAAAATACTGAAGAAATTCAGTTTAGAGGGTAATGCCAAGGTGGTGAGTACTCCATTAGCCTCTACTTCAAGCTTTCAACTTTGATGTCACCAGTTTTAGTGGAGGATCGGGACTACATGTCCAAAGTTTCATACGTCAGTGCAGCGGGTAGCTTGATGTATGCTATGGTGTGTACGAGGTTAGATTTATCACAGACCGTGAGCATGATATCTAGGTACATGCACAACCCTGGGAAGGGTCATTGGGAGGCCGTGAAGTGGATTCTACGGTATATTAAGGGTACCGTGGATGTTGGTTTGATATTTGAGAAGAATGATAAGACATGACAGGGTTGTATTGGCTACGTGGATTTAGACTATGTCGGAGATCTTGATAAGCGTAGGTCCACTACTAGTTATGTTTTTACATTGGCTAATGCACCGGTGTGTTGGAGATGCACTCTTCAGTCTACAATAGCTCTCTCTACTATGAAAGCTGAGTATATGGTGGTGACTGAAGCTGTGAAGGAGTCTTCGTGGCTGCATGGTTTGTTGGATGATTTAGGGATTGCACAGGAGACCATTCAGGTATATTGTGATAACATGTCGGTTATCTATTTGGCGAAGAACCAAGTCTACCATGCACGCACGAAGCACACTGATGTCAGATTTTACTTTGTACGTGACGTATTGGATGATGGTGATGTCACGTTGGAGAAGGTCCACACTAAGAACAAGCCTGCTGATATGTTGACCAAAGTGGTTCCAGGTGTGAAGTTTGGTCATTGTTTGAATTTATTAAATATTCTTTGATGTTGAGACTGTTGGCGGCCATTTGGATGAACTACGTTCGGCTTGATTCTTTAGGCAAGAGGATACGTAGGCAATATTGCAGATGCAGCCAGTGGTATTAGTTGAGTTTGATTGGGGGTGTTTGGTGTCGGCTCAGTTTTGAAAGAACGTTCACCGAGGTGGAGATTTGTAGGATTGGCAGAAAAGCAGTTGATGGAGATCAGGATTTAGTTTGACAGGTTGGCGGTCGACCACGGGTCTTTGGCGGTCGACCGAAGTCGTGCACGGGGCCTCACTGTGCCTCTGGATCTCTGGCGGTCGACCGTGACGGTCGACCGTGAAAGTTTCTGCTGTTGTGGGGAAGTCTCTGGAGTTGATGCGGTTGACCGTGGCAGTCGACTGCGATACTTGCGCGGACGACCGTCACGATTAACCGCCGAAGCGGTTTTGGGCTGATTCTGGGTTCCAGACCCGTTTCGTTTGGGAGTTGTATAAATACCATTAACTCGTTTTTAGGGTTTAAGGGAGAAGATTTTGAGCTGAAGAAAGAGGAGATTTGAGGCTTTTATTGTTGGAACCATTTGGAGAGATTAAGAGGGCTTATAAGTGGGTTTGTGGTAAGATTTGTAATCCTAATTGTATTCCCCATGATTTCTATTAGTAAAACTCCCCCCTCCTTGCCCCGTGGACGTAGGCAATTTGTCGAACCACGTATATTGTGTGTTCTTGCTGTGATTGAGTGTGGCTTGTGCTATTGTGATCTATTATCAGTTCTTGTGTGTGCTATTGATTTGCCGAATCGGCTTCCGCCGCGCACAACAAATTAGACAGAGAACGTCCAGACTGACTGTTTGCCGTTACCTGGAAAAAAATGCATAAAAAGAGAGAGCGATGTTTCCCCAACGTGATTTAATCTTATAAATGTAAGAGCAATAATTCCTACATAGAGGAGGGAAACTTTTCCCTATGTTTAGAAAAAAGCGGGCATAGATAAGCACTTAAAAAAAAAGTAATAAAGAAAGAAAGAAAGAAAGAAACAAAGAAGAAGATAAAAGTAGATACACTAATTTGCGTTCTTTGGTCTTTAATTGATGTCCGCCCTCAAATGAGAATAGATCCAATAACACAATTGCAAAATAATAATGATCGTGTAAATTCTAATATGATGTACACCATAAATCTTACATAATAATATTGGACTATATATGGAAAAATATTGGATTGTCTCTACCTCTTTGTTGACAACGGGAAAAGATACTTCTCAGCCGGTCCATACTTAACTCATTTTTAGTAAAGAATGATTACCATTCATTTTAAATTTAAGTACTATTATTTCCATAAATATACACTTATCCTGCTTAATTTCGTCAGTGAAAATTTAAGCATGAGCAAACTAGTCAAGCTGAGCTTAGTTTCTGTTGCACATTATGTCTATAATCTTATGGAAATATTAGTCTGTATTTAGTTCGTTTTTTCAACTCTCTCAATGGTATCATTCATCATGTTTAACTAGTATTACTGCACGTACAATACATATTTAAACTTATCTATATATTTTTATATACCAAACCTGTTTTAATATCACGGAGTTTCACTATTTTTAAACAACGGTATGTGGATCTGTCAGACGTGAAAAATGTATAATTCTAATATTTTACTTTATTTAATAGAACATCAATGGAAATTTTTTATTGGAGTTTTAATCTGTCCATTTCTTGAACCATTTAATTTTATCCTTTTGAATTCTAGGCTTATACTATGAAAGTGTAAGGATTCAAACTTCTTATTTCAAACTTCATATTTATCTTTCGTAAATAATCATGTTAAATGACTTAACATATTTTCTAACTTGTCACCCCAAATCCAAAGAGAGCAATGGAAATTCAAAATATTCCATTGATATAGAAGTATAGATATAGAAGTATAGATTGATGAAAATGAAATAGAAAAGGGTTGTTATCCACGGTGTGAAAAAACCTCAAGCAAGAGTCAAGATAAAGCTCTCCAATGTCTACAACATACTCCTCATGAATAATGTGATAACCACTCTTAAGGCCTTCAAAAGCCCACTTGGGCCCGCAAATTGCAAATGGGTGTGGGCCCATTTAGTCGTGCCACACATTATCTTTACGCTGGTATCTTTCCTTTTGCTCCCAGATCCAAAAATGTTCCTGAAAACTAAAAAAAATCTCAAACCGAGGACTTGGTAATAAATTTTCAAGCTCCAACAACCCTCTCCCAAATAAAAGAGATTAAAGCCCTTCATCGCTCTCTCTTTCCTCCCCCTCCTTTGTTCCATCAATGGACTGCAAATTTGCAAATCCCACCTTAATCTCTCCAAAATCCCCGCTAAATCTTCAGCCCTCGCGGCCACCGCCAAAACTTCAATTGACTGTAAATATCTCAATCCTATTGTTCTTTTTTTTTGTTGCAAAATTATCACATACAGCCATTTTTTTAAGGAATTTCTCTTGATTTTTTCCCCTTTCTTTTTGTAGCAGAGATTGAAGAATTCAAGAATAAAGAAGAGACTTTTGGCAAGTAGAGCTTGTAGCGGGTCGAATGAATCGGATTCAGGAGGTGGGTTTGTTGTAAACCCTAGCAAGATTTTCATGGAAGAGGTAATTTTTTTTTTCTAGGTTTTTAATTTGAGGTAGCTGCGTGTAATTATGATCTTGTTGGTCGTGGTATTCTAGCTTTAATTGNAGTATGTAGGAAACCAATAATTTGTTTTCAAATTCACTGTTTTATTGGGGTTTTATTTTGTTAGGGCTGGGGGACGTTGGAAACGGATCAATGAATTTAAAAGAGCAGAATAATTGAAATATTCAGGGAGAGGTGTTTGAAAATTAATGAATGTTGTATTGGTCTAGTTTGATATTTTGTTGTGAACAACTGGATAAGAATTTTAGTAGCGGGATGTTCTTGGATCTCATGATATAATTTAAGGAAAACCAAGGCACAATAATGTTTCTTTTAGTGAATTCGCCGGTGTTTCATTAATAAGAGTTTAACAAAACAATACAAAATATAGAGGTGTGTAGCTTCACAACCTTCACAACTAAAATTAGCCATGACCACAAGAGACAAAGCAGCAAAAAGACCTAAAGATGGGAGCTAAGAAAACAACAAATGAAATTTCATTCTCCTGTCAATCAGAAACTAGTCCTTGATCTCGAAGTCGATATCCTTCACCTGAATCCATTCATCCTTTGACCTTCTGCAGTAGAATCATCTAGTAGCCCATGATCGTTTTATGTTGGGAAGTCCCTAGTGATAAAAATAAAAGGGGTAGCAACTTTGAACTTGTTATGCCTCTGTATATTGTCAATCTAAATCATGTATTCTGACTAGTCACCACGTATTGTGACTAGGTTGCTCCTGATGTTTGTCTTCAAAAGATAATATTACTATTATATAACTTGTAAAGAATTTTAGTGTTGTGTTAAGGCACTGCCCAATGAGCTCATCTTCTGTTGTCTCCTAGAAATTAGGAACTCAATGGAAATAGACTGTAATGAGTTAAAATCATTTGCTCATCTATTGCTCCTTTAGAAATTTATGCAAAGGATTTGTATGAAAAATTTGGAATCTATAACTCGTATCAGGAAACATGTATAGTGGTGTTACCTTCTATTTGTATCCTTTGATGTTATAGCATATAAAGACGTCCATTATTTTATTCTTTTTAAGAGCCTTGCAAAAGGTTACTAGATGCTCGATTACATGATTTACATTGTTTGAACTTTTTGTATGCACTTATTTCAGGCTATTGGTGCTGAATATGGTGAAGGTTTTGAGACTTTTCGAATGGATGGCCCCCTAAAGGTAGACGTGGTAAGAATATTTTGGCTCTTTAGAACTGCAATTGTTTTGAGGTGCATAACACTCTCTTTGTATTTTGTAGTTGTATTGTTTGAGAGCATTGTCATTGACAAATAACAAAGCTGCTGTAATTTTGTAGGATTACTTAAATGAGAAATTGCAAGAATGCTTCCTCCAAAGAATACGACATGCTATGAAGCCAGATGAATCTTTTGGTCTTATCTTCTCATGGGACAATGTTGTGGTATGTGTTATTTTATTGAAAATCCAACAATGATTCTTCTGTTCCTTCTTTCAAGCATAGCAACTGAACATTGCGAGACAGGCTCTTTCGCAACTTGTTCACTGCGAAGTAGAAATTCCATCTTCTTCCGTAGTTTAATTAGATTTATTTTTCTACTTTTAGTTCAAGTCCCTGTTAACTTGGTGAACATCAACCACTAATAACAGAACTTTTATCCCAAATATTTGGCGTCGGTTGTGAGAATCCTTTTTCTTCAAACAACTCTACTAGAAGACATTTCTCTATTAATGTGATAGTTATAATATTCATTTCTACTAACTTAATAGGAGTCCTTTATGTTGTAGTTTTTATTGCTCCATCTTAGTGTCCACTCTGCTTGCCTGAGCCATCTCAAGCAATTCTCCTTCGTTACTTCCTTGAAGTTATCTCTATCTTCATAGAAATATACTGAGTTCTCCTATTTTTTAGTGGGATAACAATGTATCAATCTTAACTTACGCCATACTTATTTTTCAAACATTTTTTACTTTTTCACATTTGATGGGTGAAGTATAGATATGTGTACGGTCTCATAAATTCTTCTTGAACTCCAGGAGTATTCTTCACCTTTTATTAAAGAAAAAGGAAAGAGGAAATGAAGAACTAAGAAAAACGTAGAAGTATAAAAATGTCCTATAGTCACATAGCAATCTGGAAGCACTCGCAACTTTAACCATCCTACTTGATCCTATAAAACATCCTTCTAGCTATCACCATATGGTGAATGCTTGATCCTAAATGGGGAAAATGCTCTATCCTAGGTATTAATTAAAACGCATTTTTTGAATTGCCATTTCCTTAAAGGATTAAGTGGTGTGATCGAGTTAACATTTACATATTACTCTTTTTAACTTGTACATGATTGACTTCTATCCATTATCAGAGAGTAATTTGATATCTCATTAAAAGTTGTTCTAGCCGTGAACCTTCATACGTCCAGAGCAAGATAAGAATATTCTTTGCCTTAGTAAAAATAAACACAACCGTCAAGATGGTGTATATATCATAAGCAGATTTGATACTGCATGGTCCATTGGGTATGTAAACTGGTTTCTGCTAATAATGTTTTCCCCCTCCAAGAATACAGTAGTCAAATCCGCTCTGGTTCCCAAATTTGATAAATTCATACTCCATGTTATTCATATAGATGGCCATTGCTGGGCATTACAAATAAATAGGAATATAGCGCAAGGTCCGGATGCCCAATTCCTTTTGATATTTATATTTACATTAGTTGTCACAAACTCAAACTTCTTACTACTTTATTTCCTGACTATTGATTTCTTGTCATCGATTTTGTCACAATAAATGGTCAAATTGTATTCTATTTCTTTCCTTTTATTTGATGTATGTTAGATAGTCGCCCCCCCCCCCCACAATTATGGTAGATGCCCATTTTTTTATTTAATGACTTCTGCCCTGGTGCATCTCAGGTTGATACCCGCTCATTGAAGTTGGATGCTTGGAGACAACTTGCTTCTGAAATGGGTATGTCCTCACTCTCTTAACTGATAGCTGTGCTTCTGATATAGGCATATTTTATAGTGACCATTAAGAATTAATTGTTCCTAAACCAAAGCTTGGAAATAACTTAATTCTGAAGATATCATCCTTCTCAAATGTTATACACGATAATAGAAGAAATACATTTGAATTATTCTGGATGATATACTTATTTTCTTTCTGAATATCAGCTCCAATAAGGCTGGCAGTTTGAGAAGATCACTAATTTCCCTTGTCTAATGAACATAAAATGCATCAATTCCTGCATGCATGCATTCACATGGACAAATATTGTGTGCATGCGCATTGGTGGATTTGTGCTTTCATACCCTTGGAATTATGTTACCCCATAGTAATGTTGTTCGATAAGTTTGATTCAATATTGAACTACATATAGGCAAATTGGATATGCTTATTTATATTTCACTGTACCCACACAAAAAAGAAAAACAAGAAAATAAAAGAACATTGTTGCTTGTGTGTATATGCAAAAGAAGATCATCCTTGGCATTAGATCATCTAATGCCTGTCTATTAAGCATATCTGGAGTTTCATTTGGAGTAAAATGATTCCTTAATCTTTCTCTTTTGATTAAACAATTTACTGAAGGTTTTTGGTTTATTGGATAATTGCTTAATTCTTTGTCCTTTCACACTTCATAATTATTCTCTCCAAGATGTAACAAAAACATACTATGATCTTGTGTTCACTGAAGAGTCGCGGTTCGTATACCAAAAATATGTGATATAAAAATACAATTTTCTTTATTAATAACACCTGGCTGTTGAGTAGGACGAGATTTTCCAAGTGATGCTCCTCTACAACGGGCTATTCTTCATGCAGCACCAGAACACGCTCTGCAAAAGGTTAATATATACATTCTTTTTCTTTTAATTTATCTTTTTGAATTTTTTTATCATGGTTTTTACACGACGTTTTATATTGTTTCCATACTGGAAGTCAAAGCAGATATTCCATTCGTGTTGTTAAAAACAGAGGCAACGTTGCCACTTTAAGGTCAACTATTCTCTTAGTTCCTTTTCTCACATAATATATTGGGTCTACCGTCAGTTGCAAACGCAATAATTGCTCCTTAAAATTAATAACAATGGTTAGTTCACATCATTGTGCTCAAGTTAAAATGATGCTCTGCCGCTTCTTCTTTCAAGTTTCCTTCCTCATTTCTCTTGGACTTGTTTCATACTTGGTTTGGCTGTCTCTTTTATTGTTTTGAATCATAACATAGAAGTCCCCCCTTGCAATATCCACGTATCTTATTTTATCTCATCCAAATTATTTCATTTTGAGTTGCTGGTAGGACATCTGCCTAGTCGTGTTGGTATTGTGTTGTTGAAGCTATAAATTGGCATAGATTTCATGTTGAGGTACTGGTTTGGTCTTCACGCATGCCCTGTGATTGGAGGGTGTATTGGTTCTAACTGCTGTGACTTTTCAGTTTACTGTTTCAGGGTGATTGAATACTGTATGCTCGAAGCTCCTTTAATTTACACATCTGATTGTCATGCAAGTCGATATCAAGGTGGATACCTGGGAAGGCCCTAAGAACAGAATGAAACCAACTGTAAACATGGGATTTATTAACACCTTCCCGCCAATTGTGGCTTTCTCATTTTACAATCCGAGCGATACTTATGGATTTATGAATGCCTCATGAACTTCAATTCAGTGCATTCTTTGTTGCATTTTAAGAATGTTTCTGGGTCTTTCTTGAAGTTTGGTTATCCTAAAGCAGTTTTTTCTGGCTATTTAGTTTCATTAAATTGTTTTGACCAAAGCTAAACTAAGGGAAACAAAAGTTAACCAAGTTAGTAACATTAACATTAGGAGTAATGAAATTATGACAAAAGCTTAGGAAAGGAATAAAAATTAGGAAAGGAATAAAAATTTAAGATATTGATAACTTCTCAAACGAAAAGAAAACGAGGTCCTTTGGTAAATAGTGTAATTGTGTAATGAATGCAGGAAAAAATTCCCTACGTATTCGAGTTATTCATTATTGGAAACTATCAACTATTAAATTGTGTGTACTGCAATGACAAACTCCACATCTACCGAAAGTTAAGCAGGATAAAGTATGTTGCCATGAGGTCCTTCATATGGATGTTGTGTTGAATGTGGACTTCGGTCAGCTGGTCACCAACCGTACCAGTTGATTGAATTAAGTTTGATCTATATAGCCAACTCTGATTCTAATACACTTCTGATGTCGAAGGCATAGTAAGAAAGACAAACTTTAGGATTTCTAGGCACAGTCAATGAAAACTCATATCTCAATGGAAAATGTAGTATACGCTTATGCAAGAGAAATAACATATGACATTTTATATTTTTATTTAAGCTAAATACAGATGTAAATCATTTCATTAAAGAGAAAATTAAGAAAAAGATATGATGTTTAGTCTTGAACATAACCCCTGATCCTCGTTTATCTAATGTGCCTTTATTTTTCAAAGGTATTTCTCCTTTTCTTTATTATTATTTTCTT